GGAATAGTGCCCCATCGTTGGTGTCAGTGGGGGGGGGGAATAGTGCCCCATCGTTGGTGTCAGTGGGGGGGGGGAATAGTGCCCCATCGTTGGTGTCAGTGGGGGGGGGAATAGTGCCCCATCGTTGGTGTCAGTGGGGGGGGGAATAGTGCCCCATCGTTGGTGTCAGTGGGGGGGGGAATAGTGCCCCATCGTTGGTGTCAGTGGGGGGGGGAATAGTGCCCCATCGTTGGTGTCAGTGGGGGGGGGAATAGTGCCCCATCGTTGGTGTCAGTGGGGGGGGAATAGTGCCCCATCGTTGGTGTCAGTGGGGGGGGGAATAGTGCCCCATCGTTGGGTGTCAGTGGGGGGGGGAATAGTGCCCCATCGTTGGTGTCAGTGGGGGGGGGAATAGTGCCCCATCGTTGGTGTCAGTGGGGGGGGGAATAGTGCCCCATCGTTGGTGTGGTGTCAGTGTCGTTGGGGGGGAGGAATAGTGCCCCATCCCCATCGTTGGTGTCATCGTTGGTGGGGGGAGGAATAGTGCCCCATCGTTGGTGTCAGTGGGGGGGAGGAATAGTGCCCCATCGTTGGTGTCAGTGGGAGGATAGTGCCCCATCGTTGGTGTCAGTGGGAGGAATAGTGCCCCATCATTGGTATCAGTGACACCAATGATGGGGCACTATTCCTCCCACTGAGACTTGCTGACCCTGTTCTCGTATGGTGCTGCTGCAGCCAGCATATGTGGTTGCAGCAGCACCTCTACACAGAACACTTACCTGCTGCTCCGGCACTCAATTTTCGCGGGGCCGCTCGGCTCCGCCCCCTCGCCGGTGATTGGCCGCCTGTGTGCCTTTCCTGAGCTACAGTTCTGGCGGCCAATCACCGGTGAGGAGGCGGAGCCGAGCAGCCGCACGAACATCCAGTGGCCGAATTGAAGGAGACGCCGCGCTTCCTGGACCGGATCGTCGTGGGACTGGATCCAGGTAAGAGACATCAGCCCCTGCAAACCCCTGTACTTAATGCCGCAGCCCCCCCCTAACATGTGTACCGGCGTATAAGACGACCCCCGACTTTTGAGAAGATTTTCAAGGGTCAAAAAGTCGTCTTATACGCCGGCAAATACGGTAAAATACAAAAAAGAAAATACAGGGTTGGGGGGGAGGGAGAAGCAAAGGTCGTTTAAATAGACATTAATAGTAAAATACAAAAAAGAAAATACAGGGTCAGGGGGGAAAAAAAAAAAGGTAAAAAAAAAAAGCAAAAGAAAAATACAGGGTTGGGGGGGGGGGGGGGGGGGGGAGGTAAAAACAAAAAAAAAGAGCAAAAGTCGTTTAAATAGACATTAACAATAGTAAAATACAAAAAAAGAAAATACAGGGTTAAAGGGGGGGGGGGAAAGGTAAAAAAAAAAAAAAGCAAAATTCGTTTACAGAGACATTAAAAAAAGTAAAATACAAACAAGAAAATACAGGGGTTAGGGGGGAAAAAAGATAAAAAAAAAAAAAGCAAAAGTCGTTTAAATAGACATTAACAATAGTAAAATACAAAAAAAGAAAATACAGGGTTAGGGGTGAAAAAAAAAGGTAAAAAAAAAGGGGTAAAAAATAAAAAAAAAAGTAAAAAATAAAAATAAGGTAAAAAAAAAAAAAGTAAAAAACAAAAATAAGGTAAAAAATAGAAAAATGTAAAAAATAAAAAAAAAGGGGGGGGGGGGGGGGGAGGAGGGACAATAATAAAAGGAGAGGGGGGATAATAAATAACACAAAAAAGGGGGGGGGGGGAAATAGATAAATAAACAATAGTAAACAACATCCTGGATCCAGACGACAGCAGTGATTGACAGCGAGTACAGAACCCACGGCTACAGATCAGGTAACCTATATAATATAGACAAATCTAGGCCCCCAGGGAGGGTACAGACAGCAGAGGCAAGGAGAGCAACAAAGTAATAGTAAGCCTGTGGAAGGGGTCACCATACACAACAATAGAGACCAGCCGGGGGGGGGGGGGGGGGGGGATGGGGGAAGGATGGGGTTTGTACTGGCGATATCCATTGCCTTGTCATCCTATCCAGTCTAGTGCCAAGGGGAAAAAAAAAAAAAAAAAGGGGGGATAAAAAAAGGGGATAAAAAAAGGGGGGATAAAAAAAGGGGATAAAAAAAGGGGGGATAAAAAAAAAGGGGGGGGGGATTAAAAAAAAGGGGGATAAAAAAAGAAAAAAAAAAAAAGAAGAGGGGGGAATAAAAAAAAAAAAAGCAGGGGGATAGAAGGGGTGAGAGGAGAACAAGAAAAGGCTTCCCCGAGGGGGATAATAGACCAGTAGGGACCAGAGGAAGAGGAAACTCCAGATCAAGGAGCAGAGGGGGTTGCGAAGTACGGAGGACTCTCTGTATATATTCCAGGACAGCCAGGGTCTGGCGAGTTCTCGAGTGCCCAATTCCTGTGACTCCATACATTCCATATGATCCGTCTCCTCTGAAAGGGTCGGGACAGCAGACAAGGGTTTGAAAGTGGTTGTAAAGCTCAGACACATGAACAAAGCACATCCCTCTATAGTGTGTCCTTGTCTCAGTCCAGAGCACTGAGCGTCATTTCTGTCTGCTGCCTCCTTCCTCTGCTATCAGCACGAGTCACCACTGACATGTTTTCCTGACACCGAGAGATGAAAAGGTGACAGAGGAGGGAACTCAAGAACGCAGCCTGTGATTGACAGCCTCAGCTCTGTTCCTGTGTGCTGTGTGGAGGGGGGAGGGGGGGTGCCCTTCCATCCAATCAGCTCTCCCCACCTATTGTAAATTCAGCTCCCCGCCCTCTGCTTTCTAGAAAGCTCAGAAAAGCTGTATAAAACTTTGAACAGCTGGAGATATCACCAGAGGCCAGTCACTTGTTATAGGTTTACAGACAAAAATCCCCCCCCAACAAAATCACCCTCCCAGCACCGCTCTGTATTCTTGCCGGCAAGTCCTTAACAACCGATGAGGTCACTGGTCGGTAGGACGTACAGTGAAGAAAATGCGTATTTGCTCCCCGGCTGATGCTGAATGTTCGCCCCTCACACAGAAATGATCGGTCTAACAATGAAATGTTCGCCCCTCACACAGAAATGATTGGTCTAACAATAGAATGTTCGCCCCTCACACAGAAATGATTGGTCTAACAATAGAATGTTCGCCCCTCACACAGAAATGATCGGTCTAACAATGGAATGTTCGCCCCTCACACAGAAACGATCGATCTAACAATGGAATGTTCGCCCCCTCACACAGAAATGATCGGTCTAACAATGGAATGTTCGCCCCTCACACAGAAATGATCGGTCTAACAATGGAATGTTCGCCCCTCACACAGAAATGATCGGTCTAACAATGGAATGTTCGGTTGTAACACTGAGAGACAGAATACAACAACAAATTCAGCAGAAATGCGTCTAACAAATGATGACTGATCTGCATGTTCATGAGGGAAAGAAGGATTTGATCCCCTATCATTCAGCAGGATTTCTGGCTCCCAGGTGTCTCTCATACAGGTAACAAGCTGAGATTAGAAGCAGTCTCTTAAAGGGAGTGCTGCTAATCTCATTGTGTTACCTGTATAAAAGACACCTGTCCACAGGAGCCATCAAACCATCAGATTCCAAACTCTCCACCATGGCAAAGACCAAAGAGCTGTCCAAGGATGTCAGGGACAAGATGGTAGACCTACACAAGGCTGGACTGGGCTACCAAACTATGGCCAAGCAGCTTGGTGAGAAGGTGACAACAGTTGGTGCAATCATTCACAAATGGAAGAAACACAAAACAAGTGTCAGTCTCCCTAGGTCTGGTGCACCATGCAAGATCTCACCTCGTGGGGTGTCAATGATCATGAGAACAGTGAGGAATCATCCAGAAGAACTACACGTGAGGATCTTGTCAATGATCTCCAGGCAGCTGGGACCCACAGTCACCAAGAAAACAATTGGTAAAACACACTACGCGACAAGGACTGAAATCCTGCAGTGCCCGCACGGTCCCTCTGCTCAAGAAAGCACATGTCCAGGCCCGTCTGAAGTCTGCCACTGAACATCTGAATGATGCAGAGGAGGACTGGTGGGAAGTGTTGTGGTCAGATGAGACCAAAATCCAGCTCTTTGGATCAACTAAACTCGCCATGTTTGGAGGAGGAGGAATGCTGCCTATGACCCCAAGAACACCCATCCCAACTGTGAAACATGGTGGTGGAAAACATTCTGCTTTGGGGGTGTTTTTCTGCTAAGGAGACAGGACAACTGCAGCGCATCAAAGGGACGATGGACGGGGCAATGTAGACCCTCAAATCTTGGGGGAGAACCTTCTTCCCTCAGCCAGGGCATTGAAAATGGGTGGTGGATGGGTGTTCCAGCATGACAATGACCCAAACACCACGGCCAAGGCAACAAAGGAGCGGGGGGGGGGGGGGGTAATTACGGGCTTAACTCTCTGCCTTCTCTGTACATAAGACTTAATAGAGCTCTCTTCCTGCTAGCCACAGGAACTATCAGAGGATCGCTCAGGACTCCTCAAGCACCCCAGTTGAGAAACACTGAGATAAATAAAAATTTCTAATATCTTTTAAAAAAATGTATATAAAAATAAATTATAAAATTAATATTATTGTATTTTTTCCTGAAAAGCAAATATCTAGCAACATACACAAAATTTGTAACTGCCGCCATTTTATAATTCTCTAGCGTCTCCGCTGTCAGAAAAGATAGACTTTTTTTTGGGGGGGGTGGATTACAGTAATTTCTAGTAAAATGTTACCCCAGCAGGCAAGAGGATTAACAATTTCTATATGAGGAAATCAAAGAAACATCCTCAGTTTCTGAAATGTCAATGCTGAGTCGCCACCCACGGTGCTCAGAGGGGTCACTCAGAGAAGGGTCACTCAGAGAGGGGTCACTCAGAGAAGGGGTCACTCAGAGAAGGGGTCACTCAGAGAAGGGGTCACTCAGAGAAGGGGTCACTCAGAGAGGGGTCACTCAGAGAGGGGTCACTCACATGGGGCATAGAAAACATCATGAGCAATGGACGGTCCTCTCTCTTCAGAAGCTTCCTGAAATCCTGCAAAGACAACACAATTCTAAGTATTTCCCGAGAGATCGACAATAAAGGAGAGACTCTGAACAGAACGAACCTTCTCACTGTCGATGTGGACAACATCCTTGGCCTCAGGATTCTCCTCCCACAGCGGCGCCCCCTCTGGGTCTTTCAGAAATGCTACAATGGACTGGAAGACCAAAGACCTGGTCAGTAAGAACTGCAGCTACACCACATTAACACAAAAAGGGCCCGGTTATCGGAAAAAGAGAGGTATTTCACATCGAACATTACTTACAATAACACCATATAGCTAAAAATCCATGGACATCTGATCAAGGAGGAGGAGCTTGTTGGACTTCCCATCCCAAAACCATGACTGTTTATATGGTGCTGACACCATGAATAATAATATGGATCTAACCCCTCCCCATGACCATTAATATGGAGTTGCTCCCAACCCACACCTCATCGCCATTATTATGGCGTTGCCCCTTGACTCTTCTGGGAAGGCTTTCCATGAGACTTTGGAGGGTGTCTGTGGGAACTTGTGGCCATTTGTAAGGTCAGGTACTGATGACATGGCTCATATGTTGGGTGCCAAAATACCTGGCTCACCATTGGTGTACCAATTCATTCCAAAGGTGTTCAGCAAGGTTGAGGTGAGGCTTTGTACAGGACACCCAAGTTCCTCCACACCTAACTGGACAAACCATGCCTTTCATGGAGCTGGACATGTCATTCCAAAAACTATGGTTCTTTTCATAGAGTTCCCCCATGGCCATTAATATATGGAGTTGCCCCCTTTGTGGTATTACCATGCCCCTCCACTCTTCTGGTAAAGCTTCCCAAAACATTTGGAGAGAGTGTCTGTGGGAATTTGTGCCAATTTGTGAGGTCAGGTACTGATGCCGGATAAGAAGGCCTGGCTCAAATGTTTGGGCCACACGTTTGGAGCCAAAAAAAATACCCTGGTTCAAAATTAGCTTTCCATTTCCTCCCAAAGGTGTTCGGGTAGCGTTGAAGTCAGGGCTTTGTACAGGACACCCGAGTTCCTCCACACCTAACTGGACAAACCATGCCTTTTATGGAGCTGGACATCTCCTTCCAAAAACTGGTTATCATAGAGTTCCCCCATGGCCATTAATATGGAGTTTCCCCCTTTGTGGTATTACCATCCTCCACTCTTCTGGTAAAGCTTCCCAAAAACATTTGGAGGGTGTCTGTGGGAATTTGTGCAATTTGTGAGGTCAGGTACTGATGCTGGATAAGAAGGCCTGGCTCAAATGTTGGGCCACACGTTTGGCACCAAAAAACCCTGGTTCAAATATCTAGCAACATACAAAGATTGCAACTGCCGCCATTTTATTCTCTAGGGTCTCTGCTTTCAGAAAAGATACAGGTACTCTGGAAAAGCTTCCCACAAGCATTTGGAGGGTACCGATGTTGGATAAGAAGGCCTGGCTCACATGTTGGGCCACACGTTTGGCCTGGTTCAAATTAGCTTTCATTTCATCCCAAAGGTGTTCAGTAGCGTTGAGGTCAGGGCTCGATATATAAGACACTCGAGTTCTTCCTCACCAAACTGGAAAAACCATGTCTTTTATGGAGCTAGATATCTCCTTCCAAAAAACATAGTTGTTTTTATAGAGTTACCCCATGGCCTTTAATATGTAGTTTGCCACCCCCCTTTGTGGCTAGAACATCCTTCTGAGAAGGCTTTCCACAAGATTTTGGAGGATGTCTATGGGAATTTGTGCCCATTTGTGAGGTCAAGTACTGATGTTTGGTGAGAAGACCTGGCTCAAAATCGGTGCTCCAATTCATCTCAAAAGTATTCGGTTGGGTTGAGGTTCCTTGACTTCCTCCACACCAAACCATGTCTTTATGGAGATGTTGGCTGAGAAGATCTCGCTCATTTCAATTCACTCCCAAGGTGTTTAGTAGGGTTGAGGTCAGGGCTCTGTGCAGGACACTGGAGTTCCTTCACACCAAACTGGTCAAATCTGGTCTTTGTACACAAGGGACTGTCATGCTGGAACAGAAAAGGGTCTTCACCAAACTGTTACAAGGTTGAGCTGTTGTAAATCCTATTCCAAAACCACAGGCAGTGATATAGGATTGCCCCTCTTTGTGACTATAACACTTCTCTAGGAAGACTTTCCACAAGATTTTGGGAATTTGTGCCCATTTCTGGCTCGTATGTTGGGCACCAAAAAAAAAACAAGACATCTGGCTCACAATCAGTGTTCCAATTCATCCAAAGGTGATCAGTAGGGTTGAAGTCAGGGCTCTCAACTTCCTCCACACACCAAACCATGTCTTTATGGAGATGTTGGTTGAGAAGACAAATTCATTTCCAAGATATTCAGTAGGTTTGAGGTCAGGTACTGATGATGGATGAGAGAAGATGGCTCACTAGTTGGGCCTCACATTGGGCACCAAAAAAAACAAAAAAAGACCTGGCTCACAATCAGTGTTCCAATTCATCCCAAAGGTGATAAGTAGGGTTGAGGTCAGGGCTCTCAACTTCCTCCACACCAAATTAGTTTATAAATTAGTTTTTATATTATTATTATTATTTGTTTTTATAAACGAAACTGTCCAAAATCTTTGAAAAAAATAGTGTTTTTTTAATAAAATTTTGCAAATAATCTTTCTTCATAAATATTGGCAAAAATTTATTCAGTTATCTTTTTAGTAAAAAAAAAAAAAAAAAAAAAACCAAATGAGTTTATAACCAAAATTTGTTTTAAAAAAAATTTTTTTTACATTTTTTTTATTTGATTTGTTTTCTATTATTATTTATGTTTTTTTTGTTTTTTTTAACATACTGTCACCCTAGCAGTACAGTGTCACCAAAAGGGAGCAAATAAATGAAGTTTCATGTTGGGGTGTATGTACACGTCACCAACGCCCATTACCCCCAAGCCCACCCTCCCCCAACACCATGACCACTTACCTTGTATGACATGGGCCGGTTGTATTCTGTGTGGAACGTTCCATCCCTGGAAGATAAAAGATCAAGCTGACCACACACGGTACAATCAAAAACGATACAATCTACGACATAATTGTCGATGAACATTCAATCCAGATATTTGGGGTGCCTGTATGAGCCCCAGCTGGTACGTAATGCAGCCCATAGAGGTTCGGTCACACAGGGGCGCAGTACTGTGGACGGGATTTCTCAGCACGGAGGCGCAAAATTGTTGCGTGCATCTCTGCGCCGACGTCCCATTCATTTCTTTTGGGACTCACGGCTTCACGGATGCAGCTGCTGTGTCCCTGAGTGTGGGTCCCCAAAACCCATTCCATGAAGCTCTCTACGCACTGTTGTTGGGCTCATCTGAAGGCCACACCAAGTTTGGAGGTCTTTAGCTATTGACTCTGCAGACAGTTGGTGACTTCTGCGCACTGTGCGCTTCAGCATGCGCTGACCCCGCCCTGTCATGTGACGTGGCCTACCACTTGGTGGCTGTTGTTCCCAGTTGCTTCCACTTTGTTATAATCCCACTAACAGTTGAGCGTGGAATATTTAGTAGCCAGGAAATGTCACGGATGGACTTATTGCCCAGGTGGCCACCTATCACGGGACCACGCTTGGAGTCACTGAGCTCCTGAGAGCGACCCATTCTTTCACCAATGTTTGTAGAAGCCGTCTGCATGCCTAGGGGCTTGATTGTATACACCTGTGTCCATGGAGGGGATTGGAGCACCTGAATCACATGATTGGGGGGGATTGGAACACCTGAATCACATGGGATTGGGAGGGGATGATTGGAACACCTGAATCACATGATATGGAGGGGATTGGAACACCTGAATCACATGATTATGGAGGGGATTGGAACACCTGAATCACATGATTGGGGGGAGGGGATTGGAGGGGAGCACCTGAATCACATGATATGGAGGGGATTGGAACACCTGAATCACATGATATGGAGGGGATTGGAACACCTGAATCACATGATTGGGAGGGGATTGGAGCACCTGAATCACATGATATGGAGGGGATTGGAACACCTGAATCACATGATATGGAGGGTACTGGAACACCTGAATCACATGATATGGAGGGGATTGGAACACCTGAATCACATGATTGGGAGGGCGGGGCCAATACTTTGGGCAATATAGTGTATATATAACAGCTTGAAGGAATTTTTGTATTTCTCGATTGTCTCGTTTTTAGCCCTGATGGGGGGGGGGGGTGTGCTGACCATCTGAAACGCATTGGTTGTTGCAAAATAGAATCTTTTAAAAAGGACAATACAAGCTGATGTGGCTTTCCCATTCTTTCAAAACTTCAGTAAAACTCCTCTGGGGGTCCAGAAAGACCCCACAGTGGCTGGTGAGCAAACCACCCAATAACATTATAAGGCATCTCCATAAAGCTCAGTAATTATACATCACATAGAAGATGGTCTAAAAAAAAACAAAAAAAACAACATCAAGTTGTTCAATCCAACCAATCAAATCAGATTGGAAGAAAAAGAAAAAATCCATTAATCCATCCCATTAGAGCAACATGACAGCCAGGAAGCCGGCATTTTCAGAAGCAGAGGGAGCAATGGCAACCTCCCCCCTGCACTACTGAAAGATATACATAAGAAAATAGAGAAGGGAGAGGGGAGAAGGGAGAGAGTGGGGAGCAGAGTGGGGGGAGAGGGGAGGGGAGGAGGGGAGAAGAGGGGGGAGACAGAGGGGGGAGGGGAGAAGAGGGGAGAGGGGAGAAGGGAGGGGGGAGAAAGAGTGGAGGGGAGCAGAGGGGAGGAGGGGAGAGAGGGGAGGATTGAGGGGGGGAGAGGGGAGAGTGAGAGGAGAGGGAGAAGAGAGGGGGGAGGGGAGAAGAGAGGGAGGGGAGAAGAGAGGGGAGGGGAGAAGAGGGGGGAGGGGAGAAGAGGGGAAGGAGAGGAGGGGAGGGGAGAGGAGGGAGAGGGGGGAGGGGAGAGGAGGGGGGAGAGGGGGGGGAGAGGAGTGGAGGGTGATAGGGAGGGAGGAGGAGGGGAGAGGGGAGGAGAGGGAGGGGCGAGGGGGGAGAGGAGGGGAGAGGGGAGGAGGAAGAGAGGAGAGGGGGGAGGAGAGCGGGGGAGAGAGTGAGAGAGAGGAGAGGGGGGAGGAGAGAGAGGAGAGGAGGGAGGAGAGAGAAGGGGAGGAGAGGGATGTCGAGAGAGGGGGATGAGAGGAGGAGAGGGGAGAGAGGAGGAGAGGGGAGAGAGAGAGGAGGAGAGGGAGAGAGAGGAGGAGAGGGGAGGAGATGGGAGGAGAGGGGAGAGAGGAGGAGAGGGGGAGGAGGAGAGAGGAGGAGAGGAGGAGAGAGGTACTCGGAGAGGGGGGTGCAGGAGAGGGAGGAGAGGGGAGAGAGGATGGAAGGGAGGGGAGAGGGGGAAGAGAGGAGAGGGGAGGAGAGGGGGAGAGAGGAGAGGGAGGGAGGGGGGGAGAGAGGGAGGGGGAGAGGGTGAGAGAGGAGAGGAGGGAGAGGGGAGAGAGGAGAGGAGGGAGAGGGGGATGAGAGGAGAGGAGGGGAGGGGATGAGAGGAGAAAAGAGGGGTGAAAAAAGAGAAAAAGAAAAAAAAAAAAAAGCAGCTAGCTCTGTTAACGCACATAAACCCCGGAGATCACATTTCTGGTCGTATCTTTCTGCAGAAGAAGAGGTGAATTCTGATTGGTCACTGATGGCGAGTTCTCCGCCCCTGAGGAACTTTCTCTTTTCTCACTTTTTATTAATAAAGCCTGGCAGTGTCAATCACCAGAAGCTGATACTACAAATACGTGCCCCGCCCTCACATCCGTGTGCCCCGCCCTCACTTGTGTAGTGTAGGAGCTCCAGGCCGTTGGTCTTCTTCCCGGGGTCCACCTTTATCTTCTTGCACAGCTTCCGTCCTTCGGGGTCCCTGAGGAGAGACGGAGAGCAGAGAATTTTTCATTATTTAAAGGAGATGTAAACCCCAATGGATGTCTATATTCCCAATTCTCATCCCTTTCCCCATCTCGGTGTTGCTGTTGCTGATCTCCTGCAGGCTGTGACAGCCATTTCCTTTCTCCAGTGTCTCTGGATTGTTACCCACAATGGCAAAAGCCGACCGTACCCGTGTAATGTGCGTCATCGCCGCCACTTAAAAGGGAAGCATGTGACAGGGTGACAACGCAGTCACTTACACAATTAGGGGACAAGGGACAGGACCAGTGTTGTCACATGCTGCCCTGGAAGTTACATTGGTGGTGCACATTCCTCTGGGGTGACAACGCTCTGTCCCTATGGCCTAATTCTGCTCCCCGTTGTCACATGCTTCCCTGGTGGAAATGTAAATGACCGTGATGATGCACATTCCTGTTCTGGGGTGACAATGCTCTGTCCCTGTCTTCTAATTGTGCTCCTGTTGTCACCTTGTCACATGCTTCCCTAGTGGAAATTTAAACGGCCATGATGATGTACATTCCTGTTTTGAGGTGACAACTCACTGTCCTTGTCTCTCAGTTGTGCTCCTGTGTTGTCACCCGGTCACGTGCTTCCCTAGTGGAAATGTAAATGACCGTGATGATGGACATTCGTGTTCTTGGGTGACAACAACACTCTGTCCCTATCGCCTAATTGTGCTCCTGTTGTCACATGCTTCCTTGGGTGGGAGTAAGTAAATGACCGTGATGATGCACATTCCTGTTCTTGGGTGACAACACTCTGTCCCTATCGCCTAATTGTGCTCCTGTTGTCACATGCTTCCTTAGTGGATAAGTAAATGATCATTATGATGCACATTCCTGTTTTGGTGGTGACAACACTCTGTCCCTGTCTCCTAATTGTGCTCCCGTTGTCACCCATTCAGCTGCTTCCGTTGTCACATGCTTCCCTGGTGGATAAGTAAATGATTGTGATGATCAACATTCCTGTTCTGAGGTGACAACACTCTGTCCCTATGGCCTAATTGTGCTCCTGTTGTCACCCTATCACATACTTCCCTAGTGGAAATTAAAGTGGCCATGATGATGCACATTCCTGTTTTGGGGTGACAACTCGCTGCCCCCTGTCCCGCACTTGTGCTCCTGTGTTGTCACCCTGTCACATGCTTCCGTAGCAAAAATGTAGGGGGCTGTGAGATGATGCACATTCCTGTTTAGCCACTTAAAATTCAACCAGGGAAGCATGTGACAGGGTGACAACCCAGGTACACAATTGGGAGATCAGGACAGAGTTGTCACCCCAAAACAAAAATGTGCATCTTCAAGTCCACTTACATTTCCACTAGGCCAGGGGTGGGTAACTGCGGCCCTCCAGCTGTTGTAGAACTACAAGTCCCATGAGGCATTGCAAAAATGACAGTTACAAGCATGACTCCCAAAGGCAGAGGCATAATGGGACTTGTAGTTCACCAACAGCTGGAGGGCCACAGTTGCCCACCCCTGCAGTAAGCAAACATGTAAGAGGGTGACAACGCAGAAGCACAATTGGGAGACACGGACAGAGCGTTGTCCCCCGAGAACAGGAAGGACCGTCGTGGCAGGATCACCAGGGATGCACGTTTTGGAAATGAGACGAACGTGTGAAACCTTCGATGAGATTGTAGCGCCTGGGCCGACATCGACTATAAAACAAGTTCGGGTAAATAAATAAACAAAGAAGAAGCGGATGAAATCCATTTGATGGGAAATAAAACATTTAATAAGATGTAACAGACAGAAAACGGCAACATAATTAATTGAAGGGAAAGTCTCCCCCGGATCCCTTTCATCTCAGCGCGGCGCTGAACGATCGTCCCGGGGAGACGATCTTCTATTAAGCGTTTCCTCTTCACTCTAATCTGAGGATTCATTTTTCATGAAAGTAAACTTGTAGCGGGTTTCAAATATTAAAATGCGTCCTGCGGGTGTGCAGCAGCGGGTAGCGAGTGGCGCCAACGGGGTGCGCATCACATCTTCCGGAGCTTCCCAGGGGTCCCTGAACCCGGCCTGCAGGTCAGAGCTCCAAACACAGGCCCAGGATGGGTTTAACCCTTTCACAGACGTTTTTGTGAGGTTTTTTTTGCGCACGATAAAAAAAAATATTTTAGGGCTGAAGTTTAGGTAAAACCCCAAAAAACACTTTATAACTGAATATAGTGAACGCGGGGTCCGGGGAGAGCGGATATGGTGAACGCGGGGTCCGGGGAGAGCGGATACGGTGAACGCGGGGGTCCGGGGAGAGCGGATATGGTGAACGCGGGGTCCGGGGAGAGCGGATATGGTGAACGCGGGGTCCCGGGAGGGGGAGAGCGGATATGGTGAACGCGGGGTCCGGGGAGAGCGGATATGGTGAACGCGGGGTCCGGGGAGAACGGATATGGTGAATGCGGGGTCTGGGGAGAGCGGATATAGTGAACGCGGGGTCCGGGGAGAGCGGATATAGTGAATGCGGGGTCTGGGGAGAGCGGGATAGTGAACGCGGGGTCCGGGGAGAGCGGATATGTGAACGCGGGGTCCGGGGAGAGCGGATATAGTGAATGCGGGGTCCGGGGAGAGCGGATATGGTGAATGCGGGGTCCGGGGGAGAGCGGATATAGTGAACGCGGGGTCGCGGGGAGAGCGGATATATAGTGAACGCGGGGTCCGGGGGAGCGGATATAGTGAACGCGGGGTCCGGGGGAGAGCGGATATAGTGAACGCGGGGTCCGGGGAGAGCGGATATAGTGAACGCGGGGTCCTGGGGTGAACGCGGGAGAGCGGATATAGTGAATGCGGGGTCTGGGGAGAGCGGATATAGTGAACGCGGGGTCCGGGGGAGAGCGGATATAGTGAACGCGGGGTCCGGGGAGAGCGGATATAGTGAACGCGGGGGTCCGGGGAGAGCGGATATAGTGAACGCGGGGTACATGGGAGAGCGGATATAGTGAACGCGGGGTTTTTTTTTTTTTTAGCGGATATAGTTAATTTATTTTTTCGGGGGAATTTTACGGATTATTGAACGCGGGGTCCGGGGAAGAGCGGATTTAGTGAACGCCCATCCGGGAGAGGATACAGTGAACGCCATCGGGGGGCGGGAGCGGATACAGAGTCGCGGGGGGGGGTCAGAGCGGATACAGTGAACGGGGAGGTGGGGAGAGCGGATACAGTGAACGCGGGGTCAGAGCGGATACAGTGAACGCGGGGGGGGGGAGAGCGGATACAGTGGGGGGGGTCCGGGGAGTCCCATCGGGATACAGTGAACGCGGGGTCCCGGGGAGAGCGGATACAGTGAACGCGGGGTCCCATGGAATCGGGGAGAGCGGATACAGACGCGGGGTCCCATGGGGAGAGGATAGAGTGAACCCGGGGTCCGAGGAGAGTCGGATACAGTCCCATCGGGGTCCGGGGAGAGCGGATACAGTGAACGCGGGGGGGGGGAGAGCGGTACAGTGAACGCGGGGTCCGGGGGAGAGGATATAGAGTCCCATGGGGGGTCCGGGGGGAGCGGTATAGTGAACCCATGGGGGAGGTCAGAGTCCCATGGGGGAGGTCAGAGTCCCATGGGGGAGGTCAGAGTCCCATGGGGGAGGTCAGAGTCCCATGGGGGAGGTCAGAGTCCCATGGGGGAGGTCAGAGTCCCATGGGGGAGGTCAGAGTCCCATGGGGGAGGTCAGAGTCCCTCCGCACGCACAGCGTCTCGAATTCTACAATCGTCAGCACAGGAGACGGTTTATAAACGGGAAGGTTATACCAGGAAATACGATCCCACCGGTCAGTTTATTATTACCGCTCCGCGTTGCGGGCGTCGGTCCAGTGAGTCTGAGAGCGGCCCTAAAATTTAATTCCCGAACTGATTGCACAGATTAAAGTTATCAGGAGGGTAACAAAGTCTTTACGGCGCGGAGATAAAAGCGGAGCATTAAAGAGCGATTCTTATTCTGTTCTAAGTGTCCGGCGCTGCAGGCGACGGCGTTATCATAACTACGGGGCAGTAAATCCGCAACACCATGTCAGGCGCCGAGCCACGGCCTGTGAACAGACCTACAGGAGTCAACCGGACACGAGTCACTGCCTTCTGACTGAAATTACTGAAATCCAACGAATGGAAGGGGAGGGGCCACGGGGAGTCAGGCTGAGGGAGGAAAGTGCTAGATGATGCTGGGTGTCCTCCAGCCAGGAAATGAGGCGGAGCTCTATCTGACTTGCTGTAACTTCTAATGCACATTGTGAGAAGCTCCCAGTGTGCAGTGACATCAGAGGAAGCCATTCCTAGTCCAGGGGAGGAGCCGGTATACCTGTGCAAGACTGAAGGGGAGGAGCCGGTACACCTGTGCAAGACTGAAGGGGAGGAGCCGGTACACCTGTGCAAGAGTGAAGGGGAGGAGCAGGTACACCTGTGCAAGACTGAAGGGGAGGAGCAGGTACACCTGTGCAAGACTGAAGGGGAGGAGGCGATACACCTGTGCAAGACTGGAGGGGAGGAGCCGGTACACCTGTGCAAGAGTGAAGGGGAGGAGCAGGTACACCTGTGCAAGACTGAAGGGGGAGGAGCGGTACACCTGTGCAAGACTGAAGGGGGAGGAGGCGATACACCTGTGCAAAACTGGAGGGGAGGAGCCGGTACACCTGTGCCAGACTGGAGGGGAGGAGCCGGTACACCTGTGCCAGACTGGAGGGGAAGGAGCCGGTACACCTGTGCCAGACTGGAGGGGAGGAGCCGGTACACCTGTGCCAGACTGGAGGGGAGGAGCCGGTACACCTGTGCCAGACTGGAGGGGAGGAGCCGGGTGCCAGACTGGAGGGGAGGAGCCGGTACACCTGTGCCAGACTGGAGGGGAGGAGCCGGTACACCTGTGCCAGACTGGAGGGGAGGAGCCGGTACACCTGTGCCAGACTGGAGGGGAGGAGCCGGTACACCTGTGCCAGACTGGAGGGGAGGAGCCGGTACACCTGTGCCAGACTGGAGGGGAGGAGCCGG